TGTGCTTTAACCCGCTGCGCCACCAGGGAGGGCCAGTTCCTTATCTTAGTACCATCAAGTTATTGTTCTTGAATGATCCCTTTGGGCCTTCCATCCGTCTGGCTGTCGGGAGCCGTCTTCCCTTACTGGGCCTGCGCCTTCCTTTGCCTGGGTGTTGGCCGGGTCTTGGGTTTGCCAAGGCTCCTATTGCATGCGTGTGCGGGCTTGGAGAGGAAAATGTCCCCAGCTCATCTGGGCTCTTTTCATGCTGGTCAGGCAATCAAATCGGGGCAGATGGGGAGAGAAAAGACCCAGTTTGATCACATCTATACGGCGCGTAGACACGAATGTAAGTTCTAAAGTCAGCGGGGCAAAATGAGAGTATTTATATCCTTCGTGAAGGAATGGAACAGAGACTGCATCAAGGCCAGAAGATGGGGCTCACGTGGGAAAGAAGGGGGGCTCACATGCCTGAGACCAGATGTTCTGTAATTACATGTTTTCCTTGCCATGTGGACAGGTTTTTCCCATAAAAAGGTTATTTCTGGTAAAAACACACATACACACACACAACAAAACAAAACCCTGCTCTTGGGCAATCCCCCAGTTTTCATTCTTCTGGGTGGTGAAGGGGGGGGTACAGATTTCTCCTGCTGGGCTTCAGCTGACCCTGGCCTAACCCACGTGCCAGAGTGCCGGGGACGGCCTGTTCAAATGTCTTGGGGAAGCCTGTCCCACACTCGGGTTCAAGCTGCTCTGAGCCCTTCTCTGGCTCTGGCTTGGCCATCCCCTTTTTCCACTGGCCTTTTCCTGCTCCCCTTCGCGCCAGATGTGCTGCCTGTAACAGCTGAGGCGGGGAGTCCCGGCACCCAGTGCTTAGTCAGCACCAGCTCTCTTCCTGGAGCATCCCCACCCAGTAGCCTCCGGACACCCTCCCTCTTCTGTTGCCGGGACACTTTGGGTGTTCATGTCCCTCACAGTTTTGAATACTAGGATTTCGGGTGGCTCATACAGAGAGAGACGGTGCAGCGACACTTGGCAGTGACCGCTCGCTTGCGTGGGGCCTATCACTGCTAACGGCTCATTGTCCTTTATTTCAGTTATGCCTCAGAACAGCCCTCGGAGGTCCCTGCTGTTAGTACTGTCTGCGTTTTGTGGACAAGAAAACCAGGGAACACTGAAGTTCAGGAAGGTGTTCAGAAGGAGAAAAAGCTTTGATGACAAAGCTAGGATTCAAACCCAGATTAAATGATTTAAAAGGGCACTGAGGCAGTTGGCAGGAACCGAAGTCAAGCCTCCCTGGTCTGCCCCCCCACCCCCCGGCGTCTTCGGAGTGTTCTCCGCTCCTGGCACCACCTGTCTGGCCTGTCTGAGGGAAACTGGGCACGTCCCTGGGTCACAAGGAGGCCTGGTGTCCTGTGTGCTGGCACCCACTGGCTTTCTCTGGTGCCGGCTTGCTGTTCTGCGGCTCCTACTGTGTGTCACAGCTCCGTGACTGACATTCCATGCCCTCGGCGGAACATCCCTTCTGCCTGGCCTCACAGGACAGTGCATCTTCAGTTGAGGCAGAAATGGTCTGAGACTTTGATCCGCATTTGGGCAGCAGCCTGTGACGGCAGAGTATGGGGTACACCGCTGGGTCATGGGTTTGAGGACCACGAAACTGCAAGAGGAAACCAGACCCCTCAGCCTGGCATTCGAGGCCCTGCGCAGTCCTTTCCTCCCTTCCTGCTGTCTCATCTCCCTGTCCCCTCTGTCCTGGGTGATGCCCTCCAGCCAAGCAGAACTGCTTGGAGTTCCCTGTGCCAGTCCCGCGTCTATGCAGATGTTCTTTCTTAAAAAAAAAAAAAAATCCTCAAGTTCCTCTTCTCTCCTCTGTAAGTTCTTCTTGTTTTTCTAAACTCAGCTAAGTGGCTTTTCTTCCAAGCCTCCTACCCCTGCTGGACCCAAACCAGAAGTAATGGAGCCCAGCTTTCAGGTTTCAGGGCACTTCATCTTGTCCTCATCCTAGGAAAACTTAAGACATTCTCAAATAAGACATTCTGGTCCCAAGATGCTTTTCATCGTATGCATATCTGCCTCCCCCAGTCCGTTAAGCTCCTTGAAGACTGAGCCTCTGGTCTCTCTGTGGGAGTTTCTCAGTGCCTAGAATTCTCCACTCAGCACCTGGCCCGTGTGAATAGCTGCTCCGCCCTCAGTACATGCTGATACGGGGACACATGGGTGGACGTCTGAAGAACACCCCCACTGCCACATCCTCGGCCAGCGCCTAGCTGTCGTCTGTCTCAGGAGGCTTCTCGCAGAGCTGTCCCGGAGGGACCCCTGGGGGGAGGCACGGCGACACCCGCTCCCCCTGTGAGTTTGGTCAGTTGGAGAGAGCAGGGGACAGCAAGGCGCTGCCTGCCCCCTCCTGTATTAATTTTACAGTTAATTAAGTGAGGCTTCCATTTTTAGCACAGTGGTTGAGAATAAGTCTCTAGAGTCAAAGTTACCTGGTTTTGAAGTTGTCAACCTAAAAGCTAACAAGGCAGTTAAAAAGGCAAAGCGCATTTATGTGGGATCAAAGAATGGCGATTCGGGTCTACCCATTCAAGGTGGAAACTTGGGAGTGTGCCCCACGGGGGAACAAAGTCTGGAGGTATTGTGGGAGAAAAAAAGAAGAGGAGGAGGTAAGAAGCGAAAGGAAAGAGTTGATTTTGTGTAGAGGCTGAAACTCTTGGCTGAGAGACTGGTGATGGAGGATCCTTCTGTGTACACTGAAGGTGACAGAGATCTACTCGGGGGTTCCCGTGCCAATGAGGTGGGGTGTTCTGTACAAAGTGCAGGGCTGTGTGAGGCGTGTGTGAAGACCTGCTGTTGCCTGTTGTGTTCCTGAGCTGCGGGTGCTCCGTGGGGTGGGCCACACCCGCACCCCCAGTGGCCCGGCCTCCGCAGTCTCTGGCCACCCAGGCCTGATTCAGCACCTGGCTGCAGGGCCCTCCCCCACCCCAAATCTGACTGCACAGTGATTTCACTCGGTAATTCCATAGAGGGGGAAGAGGGCTGGGTTTGCCTTCTCAAGCGATACGTTGCGTGTCTTCCACAGAAGCATCACTTGCCTCTCCAGACCCTTTTGTTTCCTGAACAATTCAGTTCTTGTGCTCAGCTGACATGGCCCACTCAGAAGAGAAGAGCTTATCCTGTAGTCCTTAGGGGTGAGGGGTGCTGGACTTCACATCTCTCCCCCTAACCAAGGAGGGCTTCTAAGTTGTCTTCAGACTGTTGCGGTGGAAGTGCACGTGCCACACAGGCCGGCCTCGCCCAGATCGGGGACCCTCAATCCTGCCCTATTCCAGTCGACCCAGGAGAGCCACCATGGTCCCATCCCAC